TTTGTTCTGAAATGTGTTTCTAAAATGAAATGAGACAGCCATCTTTTGAAATGTAATTTAAATCGATCAATCCAAAACAACAATAATATAATGTTGGTGAGCTACAAGTCTTTCAGTCTGAAAGACCGACTTGCCATGACGCTTTTCTTTCTCATTCTGGACACATCAAGAATGTAAATTTTTCTTCCAATCAGAAGAAACTTGTTTCCAAAACTAAAAACAAAATACTTTAATGATAAATCCGCCAAAAATCTGAAGTGTACGTCACACTAATGTACCAAGGATTTATCAGTTTCATCATACTGGCATCATTTAATAATCAGTATGATCGATATGCATCATCAGGCAGCTAATTTATCATATAATTTAAAAGAGCAGTAATCACATTTTATATAGTTATCCAAATGTTTTGTTAGTCAACAATATTTACATTTTAACTGAATTTGCATGAACATTCAGGAAATGGTGTTGTCAGTCATAAATGACTCCTTTGTCTAACTAGAGAAACTGAATTTTCAGAATATATTTTACCTGATTAAATCAGTCAGTCAACCTTTGAGGAAAGTGGTTTAGTGCAAAGCTTTGAGTTGGCCTGACATTAATTTGAGTTGAAAGTTTGGGAAAGGAAATGGAGAAATGAACTCAGTGGGAGCTGACTTTCCATCCAGCTGCTTGGCCACCGCTGGACTGTCAGAGATATAATGTAGCAGATAAGAGGAAGACTTACTGTGGCTCAAACTCAGCTGTCGTATCATCTCTCTCTCTCTCACATCTAACTTTTTTCCTCAGCAGGTGCTGCTCCTATTCCACCCCTTTGCTCAGCTGACAGGGAATATCTTGACACAGTGTTGCATCTCTGATCTGACAGTCGTTCTGTGCGAGGGAGGAACTGACCAGTTTGTTCGGTTCAGGTTGTAGGATGAAATGGACATGAAGGAAAAGGTGATTTTAAAGAAAACTACAGATATGGGTAAAGAGAAAAAACAAGTGTTGTTCATGTAACATTCCATACAAATGGTGATATAAAGTGTGATAGATGAAAATAAAAGAACTGATATATTAAAACCACTGAAATGAGCATTATTTAAAAAAAAAATACACAAAATATATTAACAACCAGTAGTAAAAATGTAAGCATCACCTAAAAAGTAGCAATATAATGCATGTCAACAAATCAACAGAATAGAATTAAATCGATATTTAAGCTGCAGTAAACGGCTGATCCTAGTTTAAAATGGCTGCCAGTTTGTTCATACCTCAGGCTTTCAGGTTGGTGGTTCCAGCTTTGAGGAACAGAAAGTAAATTCTGCCTCCGCTTGTTTAGTTCTGGTCCGAGAAACACTAAGTGAGCAGTTCTCAGAGGACCTGAGAAGTCTACATGGTCCATAACTGACCAGCAGCTGCTTGAATGATTTTTACAGAGTTTGATTCTCTCGCTGTTCAATTAATGTCGGACTTATGTGTCTGTCAGGTCTTTATGCCGTGATTTCGCAGCGGCAATAAGTCAAGCCGTCTGACATCTTCCATTATACAGTGTGACAGAGGTTTATGTCAAGATTTTATATGATTCAATTTGCACAGTGTGACATGTTCAAGTCCCATACAATTTCTTAAATCATCAACAGTCAAACTGTCATCCAACTAGACAACTGCACTGGCCCAAAACTACTTTGTGCCATTTTAACCCCTTGGGCCTGTTGCAATAACTCAAACCAAAACTGCTAGATGGTGTTTTGCAAGCCAGGATTCACTTTGAGAAGAAATATCCTCATATTAGAAAAGCTGTGCCACTATCTTATTGTTGTTGTAAACATTTGCTAAAACATTGAACAATAATAGTCTGATGTTTTCTCACATCTAATTATAAAGACATTGAAAAACTCTTTTGAAAATATAGTGATTTTAAATCTTGGTATTCTTTGACACCTTTTTATTTCTTGCATCTCTTCACCCCGTGCAAGCGAAATGCCAAGGGAGGACGGTGTCTGTCCACTCACCTCCTTGCCTCTGGTCTGTTTGGACCACAGAGAAATTTCTGAGACCAAGCAGTGGGATGGACGCACAGACAGCTTTGATGACAGATAGCTGCAGTTTTTCACTTTCTGGCCTCAAATAAAAGTCGGAGTCAGCTAGAAACTCCCGCAAAGTCAGTGAACCCTCTAAAAAAAAAAAAAAAAAAGAGGGAGAGAATGAAAGAGTTGAGTATTTCTCCAAAATAAGAGTTCTGGAGTTTTTGTAAGGCAACCACCATGTTTACATGGCTCTAAAGCTCTGCGCGAGGCCAAATGTTATATTTACAGCCAAGGCTATCTGAAAAACCAGCGGACATGGCCTCCGCAAATACGACCAATCTCCTAATCTCTCTCGGTCTGAAAGCTCCTTTTCCTCTCGTCTCCTCAAATGAAGCAAGGTTAGAGCAGAGGCTTGTCTCATTTTTCAGGAGTGAGACAGCTCTTTTAACGTGATTAAAATGTTTTTCCTTTCTCTCCGGTCCTTTAGAGAATTCTTAAAAACTGTTTAAAGCCCAAATAACATGAGCACTTCTTCAAGCCATGCCAGAACCCCTTTCCGCTTGGAAATATTTGCTTTGGACGCCAGCCTTGCCCAGCACACAACACAGGCAATTATGGGAGCTATTTAAACAAGGGAGATCTACTGACAGCCGACGCCTCATTTGGAGGGATGAAGGAATCAGGAAATGAAACCTTCATTGATGCACTGAGGGTATGGAAAGAGAAATCCCCTTGGGTCGTCTGTGGCCGTTTGCATATCTCATGGGCGTTTTGAGTGTTGAAACTTGCAGCATTTGCGCAGCACTTATATGTTTGGATTTTTTAAAGTTTGTGATTGTGTTTACAGGAAAATCAGGCAGAGGCTTTGTGCATATATGTTAGGATTTCTTTTTTTTTCTTGGACTGCTGGAGGTTTGTTGGTACCTACTCAGTTTATCTGCAAAGGTGCAGCTGCAGTTTGCTGGCAGCTTCCAGGGTCCTTTCTCCAGGGACCATAAGCAGCTCCCTTGTTCTTTTAGTGTCAGTCTCACTGTCTTTCTCCTTCTGGAGAACTCTCCTTCACCTGGCTGTAGAGTGACACTTTCCCCGTCAGCCTCAGCAGACTGTTTTTAGTGGGACAGAGACAGTTTTGATGACTGGATGTGAGAACAGGACAGAAAACCTGGCAGTCTGACAAGGGTGATAAGTGCTGCTACCTGTCACTGACCTTCTCGTCAACTCATTCTTCTTAGAGTGCTGCGTGTGTCGTGACGCCGTGATTAATTGGGCTTTTAAACAGAAAAAGAAAACAAGAAGAGTGATGTTTTATTTCTGTCTTCTCCTGAGCTGAGAATTCCCCAGAAAGAAAACTTGATCCAGAGGTTTTCTCAGACTGAACAAAGAGACAGTGGATTAGTTTCGGATGACATTTTAATAACATTAATCATAATATAAAAAAACTTGTGTGTACGACAGTTTTATTTATTTATTTTATTTTAATCATGGATAAAGTTGCAGTATCTCGGGTTGTTCTCAAATATATTGGAGATAGATTAGATTAGCTGTGGGTTTTTCTGATTTGTCGTGGTGGAGAAAGAGCTGAGCAAAAGAGTGAAGCTCTCAGTTTACTGGTTCACCTGTGGTCATGAGATTTTGATCGTAACCGAGAGAATCCGATCCCAGATACAAAAGGTCAGGGATAAAGTTAGTCAGAAGTTTTAAGCAGGATGAGATTATAAAAAATAATTAGTGACACAGGCTGCACAGTGGCGCAGTTGGTAGAGCTGTAGCCTTGCAGCAAGAGAAGGTTCTGGGTTCGATTCCTGGCCCCAGTCTTTCTGCATGGAGTTTGCATGTTCTCCCTGTGCAAGTGTGGGTTTTCTCCGGGTACTCCGGTTTCCTCCCACAGTCCAAAAACATGTCAGGTTAATTGGCCTCTCCAAATCACACCCTAGGAGTGAGTGTGTGTGTGTGCGTGTGCGTGCATGGTTGTTTGTCTCTGTGTTGCCCTGCGACAGACTGGCGACCTGTTGGATGGAATTAGTGACACAACTGCAAATCTACCCAGACTTGGCTGTTGACTAAACTGACTGGCAAATAGAGCGTCAATCAGAGTAGCAGCTAAGAGAGATATCTACAATGAGACATGGTTGCAGTAGTATCATGCTGTGGGGATATGTTTCTCCAGCAGGTGAAAAGGAACCAGGTCAGAGTTGTTGGGAAGGTGAATGGAGCTAAATACAATGTTGTACAAGAAGATGTTTCAAAGTGCTGGGCCTTTGAAAATGGCTCAGACCAAAGCATCTTCACGTGTTTCCAGATGTTCAGCACCGTTTGAGACACACCTGGAAGATCTGCAGACAAATCTGATTCAAGAACACAAATTCACACATTTCAGGCTTTTATGAGTTGGAATCCATGTATATGTTCTTTAGGGGTCGTTCATAGTGAGCGTCCCTATTTTGCCTGAGCTTGAGGCGACGCTTTGCTAAATACTCTGTACGTACTTGAAGTAGATTCTCTCCCCCACTGACTTTGAAAGAAAAAAAAATCCCACTCCTCTCTTCCTATCTAAACTTTTCCTCCCCCTCTTTCTCAGCCGTCTCCTCGCATTCCTCCCGTCACAGGGCTGACAGACACTCGTCATCAACAGGTACTCTGGCCCAGTTGGATCAGGTTTCCCCTCTTTAACGCATTGTGCTGCATTTGCATTTTTATAGCTCGGCGCTGAACAGTTGGAGGTTTTAGTTTAGTTTTTTGTTTGCTGTTAGTGTTGCTTTTACTCTCACATCACAAGTTTTCAGATCATATCATTACATTTGATTTATTTGACCACGTCTACATTCTTTCGGAGTACTTAAATGTTTAAATCAGGCTTGCGTCGTCTGTTCGGCCCATGGAGCAAGTCACGATTCGATCTCAGACAACCCCCGCACAGACTATCTGCGCAACATTTGTTCTGTTTTGAACTGTTCTCATTAATTTGTGTGTGGTTGTGTTTCCTGGCAGACGTGGACGAGTGCTCGGAAGGCAACGGTGGGTGCCAGCAGATTTGTGTCAACATGATGGGCAGCTACGAGTGCCGCTGCAGAGAAGGCTTCCTCCTGAGTGACAACCAGCATACATGCATCCAGCGGCCTAAAGGTTATTCACATGCACACACGCTTCAGACAGATCATGCATTTGTTCCCTTATGACTTTCTTCTGTTCTTGCTTCTTTTTTTTTTTTTGGTCACACTTGTAAGATATACATAGTAATACCAAAACCCAGTTTTCAGATTTAATTTAATAAATGAGAAAAGCGATCAAAACCAACCTGGTCTGATGTGAAATGTAATTGGCTCTATCTGTTTAGCTGCATATGCACCACTAATGCCTGGTTACTGCCTGGTTTGCAGAAAATAGAAATCTCCTACTAGCAGAAATCAAATAGATTGTGTATCATCAGGTAGGATAGAAGAGCTGAAAAACGTCCCAGTCAATAATAATAATAAAGAAAAAGTCAAGAAAAGATGAGAAATAAAGTCTTTACTAATCCATGAGGTCACAAAGAAACTCGCTCACATGTTCAGCTCTAAATGTCCCCCTTGCCTCAGTTTAGCTGAAATAAAGTTAAGTTCATGATTCAACAATAAGGAATATGCTGAGCAAAAAAAAATGGCTCAAGGTAAAACCAATCGCTGACTAAACGGAGAACAAAAGCCCGTCTCAGATTTGCAAAAAAAAAAAAAAAAACATAGTCCCAAAAAACTCTCAAGACTTTTGGGTAAATATTTTACAGAGTAGCAAGATAAATGAAACATTTTGAAACTTGTGGGCCCTGAACGCAAATCGAACAGAGCACTTTTGAGTGTGATGGTGTGGGGCTGCTTTCCTGCTTCAGGACCCAGACGACTTGCCATATTAGTTGAAACCGCACATCTTCTTCTTTTACTACAACATTCTGAAGGAAAGTGTTTGGCCATAAGCTTGTGACCTAAAGGTTAGGCAGACTTTGGTTGCGCAGCAGAACAATGATCCAAAGCATACCAGCAATTCCACCGCAGAAGAGATAAAAACGGAAAGTTTTTCAGTGGCCTTGTCAAAGTCCTGCCTGTGATGTGACTGTTAGCGTTCGATATCCTTCGTTGCTGCTGCCAGCACAATCAGTTATTAAGGTCAGTGGGGATTACTTTGCTACATTTTGGTTTGGATAACTTTTTTTCCCTTTAATAAATTAAATCAGCATTTAAAAACAGCTGTTTTGTATTTTCTTCTGACTGTAGAAGTAGTTTATTGATCTGAAACAGTGAAGTGTGACAACACAACACAGAAACATGAGTAGCTGACGCTTCAACAGCACTACTGTGGTTTCATTTTTGGGTATCGGGTCTTGCCCTTACTGTACAGTTTGCTCAAACATGATTACGATACATTTTGAGATAATGATGCTGTCAAGTCTTTATGTAAGTAGCAGATATTCGGGACTAAATGGAGGGCGGGATTAGCCCTAACAAGCCCAACAACAAGTTAAAACAGTTAGCTCGCCACTCTTCAAAGAGAAGAAATGAAAAGAGGGGGGGAGCAGGGATAAATCTTTTTGTTTTCCACTCCCCTTTTCAAATTGAACCTATCTAGCACTTGGCTGCTTTTCAAGTTATCTGTGGTATGAGAGTGGCCTGCGGGGGGAACTGCGAACAGTGAAAACAATTAAAGGTGTAGCCCAGGGCAGACACACCTCTTGTTTATAGAGCGTTCCTGTGGGATGGAGACGTGACAGGAAAAGAACCAACTTGCTCTGAGGCTCGCTCGCCACACACAGCAGCGCCACAGACATGCAGACGGTTTTAATGTCAAGCTAAGTTGTCAGGAAATGTCTTTGGTGGCTATGAAGCGCTGGATTGCACAGAGCCTGCAACAGCTCTACACTTGCTCTTAGGGATTAGAGATTTAGAGATTAGAGATTTTTCATTGTTTCTGCCAATCTTTGTGATGCATATTTTTAAGAGATTCTGTTTTCGTAAATATATCCTCATGTTTAGAGAACAGGAGGATCATAGCTTATGAAAGCAGATATTAGGGTTGTCAAGTGAATTCATATTTTGATTAAAACGATACTAGAAAAAATATATCTATATTCAAAGATGCTCATTTGCATCCAAATCAAGAAAAGCTGACCCATTTATATTTGCCCAAATTGCTGCAATTCTTCCGGCAGCAGCGCTTTATTAACAGACACTTAGTTCCTCCCTTCCCCACCAGGTTGAAACAGAGTTGCTGTAAGTTTTAAACATGGTGGGTATACCCAGAAAAAACATGAGCGACCATCTTTAGCAGACCAACAGCATTGTTCGAACAGATGGAGAGCTAACACTAAATGTTTAAATATTATCTTCACAAACAGTCCAGTAAAGGTGCTGTGTTGGTCTGAGAACCCCATTGAGATGCACTTCCCAACTGAAAAGTCACGCTTTGCTCAGTACGAATTAATACAGAAAATTGTTAGTTTTGACCCAGTTATGGAAGGTTTGATTATATACTGCAATTAAGATTATTTTCTCTTAACTAAGAAGAAGCCTCCATTCCAAAAATGTTGCTGCTTGGTATCGGTCTCGAGTTTAAAATCTTAGCATTGTGGGAATGCTAAGATTAATTAACACATTTAAAACATTTTTAGAAAATAGCAAAATACATTTTATCTTGATTTGTTTTTCATTATGCTCAAAAATAAACTAAGCGTGCAAAAGATATAGGTAGTCAAAAATTTGTAAGGAAGGACATGTAAATAATGGCGTTATCCTTGTTGAAAGAAAAGTCTCCAATAAATCAGTACTTTCGTGGCACACTGTTTTCTTTTTTCTTGCCCAGGATTTTTTTTTTTTTTATATATTCTAAAAAAAACTAAACTACTCAAAAGCACGTTCTACATTTAGCAAAGTTCAATGAACTAATTAAACACATCTGGTTGCACCAAAGTCTGCTTTCAATTGAAAGTCACTGGATATATAGAATGTAGTCCCACTAATTATCAAATTAAAAAGAAAGACCAAACTGTGTGGTTATTAAAAGGCCAATAAGTTGTGTTGTCGTCTTGACATTTAAGAATGTAAGAGGATTATAAATCGTCAGCAATCAAAGTCTCCACTTGCATCAGTTGGTTGTGCTGCTGAGTCAAGTTTATCAAACTGCAATTTTGGGTCCCCCAAAAAAATCAATCTAGGGGCCACAAATGGCTCCCAAATCTGGTATGGAGTCTGAAAAATTGCATCCATCCATCCATATTGTGTATTTACAAAATTCAATGAAGAAGCCTGAAAACCTTGGCCATTGAAGGCTGTAAAAGCTTGAAAATTTGACAAGTAAAAATTGCAGAATTGCTGTGTTTGCGTTTTGACTCGGTTTTCTGCTGCCCTACGCAACTTTGCTCAGAGCCTCCAGTGTTTCTGTGAAGCAGCAGACATAATGAACAGCTGTTATCGTCAGAAAGTTCGTTCATTCGTTCGAGGAATGATTATCCAGCAAAGCCTTTTACAACTCCTCAGTTCCATCAGACTAAGCAGTGTTGTGGATGTCTTTTTTTTTTTTTTTTTTTTTAAATCTGACGCAGTTCTTCCTGTTCTGTAAACCCCAGACTTACACAGCAAGATTCAAGTGTCTTCTCATCTCACTTTTTCATCTCTCTCGTGTGTTTTCTCAGCCAAGTACTCGTATGGAGACTCATTAAATTGAGATGCTCATGATTCCCCCGTATGATGAAATGAGAATCTTGAAAGTTTAATTTATGAGCTCCATCTGGCCTACTGAAGTGTCAATGTTTACATTTCATAAATGCTGTTTTTTTTGTTTTTTTTTTCTTGTTTGCGTGGACTGAAAACTTTAACCATGAAATTTCAAGCCTTTCTACACATCAGCGCTATCAGAAACAGATTTAGAGCAGTAGTCTGATTTTGCCAAGTTCCTCCAGTCTTTCGTCTGTTTATGTTCATGATAAATGTCCCCAGTTCCTGTTAATATCCCATTTTAATATTCATTTTGTCCTTATTGCTCCCAGATGAGAGCCATTGAATTCAAAAGATTAAAGCTGCCATAAATCTGCAAACTTCCTGTGCTCATCAGATAGGCGCCTATTTATTGTTTCCTTATTTTTGAAAGACCAAGAGACAGAACAACCACTCATCTGCTTATTATTACCGCTCTTATTACAACAGTGTGTGCCTGAAGGATAATGGAAGTGGTTAGGAAGTGACTTTACAGAGTTATTGGGCAACAGCCCCTGAAGAATTGCTAAAAGAAAAAAAAAAAAAAAAAAAAAAAAAAATATATATATATATATATATATATATATATATATAAAAAAAAAAAAAAAAAAAAATTAAAAAATTTT